TTAGTCTATAAAATTATCCTTATTAAACTTCTCATTGCTGATATTTTGGGTTCCTGAAATAACTTTTTCTTCTATATTTTTTGTTTTTTTTAAGTAATTTCTTTTTCACTTTTTTTCAAAGGGACTATTTCAAAATGAATAAAAACATGAAAAAAATATTACAAGGCTTTAAACAAAGATGAATAGATAAATTTTATAATATAAAGATCTATCTTTTATAAACAATACGATTATAAATATTATCTTTTACATGGTGTTGAATAAAATCATACACATGTTAGTGTTCGAAATCTCATTCTTCATCACACATAGAATCTAGCTTCGTCGTAATAGAGATTAAAAAATATACTTTCTTCACAAACAACAAGTTTTTCGTTCCGTTTTTTTCATAAATGATAATTTGTACCATTTAAATTACTTATCTTTTATTTGTCACTATCATTTGAGCAAATAAATATAATCTCAAACCAAGCGCCTTGATACCACTTTTGATTCTATTTTATCTCTTCAATAAGTTTAGTAATAAGCGTAACGACCTTTTAAAAAATTTCCCAAAAAAAACAATTTGAACAAAATCTTTTCATTTATTTTATTATGTTCAACTCTATTGTATCTCTAAAATGTTTCATTATATGTTTTTATCTACTACTAGAAATAACGATGCAATAACTAAAAATACCAAAGTATTTAGTGAAAATAATTTTCCTAAACTTTTAAGAATTCGTGACAAGCAATAATAATAAAAAGTAACAACAATAATCACAAGACAAAATACCAATATTAAAATATTGTGGAATAATTCTTAGCAACCTACCAAAGTTATTCACAATTAAACCCCATTAAAATTATATAACGATACATAAGAGTCAAACCAAACAAGAATTTATAATAAATCAATACATCAAAATAATAATGTTCTTAAATATAGAAAATAAACTAAAATAAAAGAGTAATGTGGGACTGGTTTTTTAACCATAAATTTTCAATCAAATATTTTAACTGTCAAACAAAGAATCATATTTCAGAAACCTGTTTTCAAAATTTCGACATAGTCCACCATTTACTTTTTTATATTCTTTTTATTTAAAAAAAAAACTATCTCTATTTAAGTTAAATGAGGCAACTTTTAGACATATAATAAATACAGAATGTAACCTAACATTAACAATCACAAAATTTACTACCATAACAAAAATAAAAATACCAAAATCATCATAAATAGTGATCATTTTCAAGAATTTTAAGATACAAAATCTCTAATAAAATCACCTCAATTGAATAATAGCATGATACGTATGATACGTTTTAGTTTTATAAGGTTTTTATAACACCATTGAACAATCAAATAAGTTGTTGTACTTAATAAGAAAAGCAAAAACAAACCACGTGATCTAGTACGACTAATAATTGAAAATATTAAGTTTTGGAAATTTAAACTGTAAATTATTCCATTTAAAAAATGAAGAATTCAAAGTATCATGAAAACAAAGAAATTTAAAGTATAATTATTACAAATATATATGTTAATTATTGTCTTAACCTTGAAACATGTGCATTACAAACAGCCATGATAGTTCCAGAGTGTAAAATAAAACATCTATGTCAATGGTTCACTTTCATTGATATAGTTTTGGAAAACAAAAAAATGTGCATATTTATGAGAGTATATAATTAAAATATTTGAAACACCCTGTCCATCACTTCTCAATCAGGATGGTATCATAATGTTCATTTTTTATACCAAGACAAAATGTAATAACAATCTTCTTTCTGCACTTTTTCTTTTTGAAAAAATATTGAAATTTGTATTTTCAGTTTTTAATGAAATTTAGTTATTTATTTTAAAATAAATTATTTTACTATTTTACTGTAGATAAAAGTAATACATAATACATTTATATCTATACCTATATAAAGAAGATTACTCTTTTTAATATATGCATTTATTTTTCAATTTTATTCTTTACATATTTTTTAAAATTAAAATAATTATTTTACCAATATTATTTTTTAAGTGATTGTTTTCTCAAATTTAACCATATTTTTTAATTTAATCATTTTTTAAACTTAACTACTCTTTTAATTAAAAAATTACTACAAAATAAATAAAAACTATTTACAATAAATTGTCTAAATAAAAACTTTTAAGTGATGGTATCATAATGTTCATTTTTATACCAAGACCATGCACCATGCAACGCAGCGTTTAGCACCAGATCAAAGGTTTACGTAATATTCTTTTTTTTCTTTCTTGCATCTTCTTTCTTTCAAAAAATAAATGTTTAATTTCTACCTTATTTTAAAGCTTGTTAGATAAATGAGGCTAAATAAGTGATTACAGACTCTACGAATTTGAAGAAACTTATGGTAAAATAGATAAACTAAAAGAGAGTGTTAAAAATATTTTTTTAATATATTTTTATCGATTAAAATTTGTTGGAAACTGTATGATTAGTAAATAAGACAAAAGAGGCTAACATAATTTTATAATTTTAAACAAGTTTTAACTAATAATAAAGTATTTTGAATTTCATATGAATTTTGTAATTAAAAAAAAATGAACTCAAAATATGTCAACTAGCATTTTTTTATTATATTAATACACGTGCTTCACGTGTTTTTATAAACTTTTAACGCAGAATATGGTATGCGATTTCTATCTTCAATGATATAGTGTTTGGTGTTCGCAGGGATTAAGAAAACAAAGCATTTTTTTTTATCCACATGGCTTTAGATAGATGTCGAACAGTCAAAAATGACACATTAACATTAATTAAAATAAAATAAATATTTGACAGTTTTATTTTAAAAATATATAAATTTAATTTTAAAAATAGAAAATATATAATTAAAATATGAATATAATAAATTATTAAATAATTATTTTATTTTAATGGATGTCAAAAAATTATCATTATTTAAAAAAAAAAAAAAACTTTTCGGCCGAAACTCGTAAGCTAGAATGAATAGCCCTTAAAACGTGCTCGAAAAATTAACCCTTAAAACATTCTAGATGAATAGATTGTTTAAAAACTTTTGAGAAAAAAATTCTTATACATTAAAAATGCCAAATATGTAAAAAATACCAATATCAGTATTAATGCAGAATAAGAATTTCTTGAAAGATAAAATTCATAGATTAAAATAGAGTGTAACTGGTTAACAATGTACACGTAAAGAAGAACTAAGAATATTTTAATATAATGATTCAGAAGATTCTTTGTGATGTCTAATTCTAATGGTATTTTTTTTAAACTAGTTTTGTAAGTTTTTTGTCAACATGGAAATCTTAAAAAATTACATTTTTATAATTTTTCTGCTTTATTTTTATAATTTAGAAATTAGTTTAGCATATTATATATACTTTTTAAATTCATATGAAATAAAACTGAAATTTTAAATTTAAGAATTGATTACTGATTGAATGATGTAAATCTTTAAATTGAAGATAGTTAGATTCTGTAATAATCAATGGTAGTTAGTTTGGTGACTTTCGGATCATGAAAAGCAGAACTATCAAAAAGTATTATTATAAGACCGAATAATGGTTGTTAGGCACCGTTTTTGTTATAAGAAAGAGGAAGAAGGAAAGTTGGCAGCATGGTCTGTTTTCGTTTCTTTTCTTTTTCTCAAAACCATTATCAATTAAACTTTTTCTCCAAACATGAAAAGCAAAAGCATCTGTTTCTGCATCAGAGGGCGGCACAGCAAGAGAAAGGAAAGCAAAGTGGAAGATTTGGAGAAACATGTGAAGCCTAATTACGAGGTGAAAACAAAGGGGTGTGATCCAAGAAGTTTTGTTGGTGATGGTGATGACAGCAATGTTCATGGAGGTAGCATGGTTGGTAGCAATGATACAGGAGTTAGTGTTGCTGTGATGAGTGCAGCTCATATGTCAATGAGTGGCAATGAAGATGGATGTGGAAATGGGCATATGGGGGAATCTGGGGCAGATGCTGCTGGTGACTGATATGTCATACTCAGATGTTACTGTCAAACATAAAACTTTCATGTACTTCCTTAATAAATGTTTCTTTTTGGTGTTGTTCTTTAACTGTAATAGTTATAATTTAATGCTACTTGTTGTAATGTAAAGTTGTGGAATTTCAATTTTGATAGGGAAGTGTGACAAAACTACCCGAGGAGCTACTTCTAAGTTATCATTCTTTTCATGCAAAGTTAACTCTGATGCTTGATTTTGTTTGTCAGGGATCGTCCCTGTAAATGAGGAAAATTGTGCAAAACCCTACCATGATAGAGTGGAAATGATTGCATAACAATAATATTTAAGGGTTTTTTTTTTGTTTATTAAAGAAAAGAAAGACCCTTTTAAATAAAAATGTTTAAAACTATAAAAAGCTTGCAAAAAATATGTAAGTGTTATTTATTGGTTAGAAAGAATAATTTTAAAATGAAAATGAAAAACTTTTTCATAAAAAAACACCTTTTTCCCACCAAAAGATCGTTCATGTGAAAATCAATTTTTTTTTTTTTATATTTCTCCGTGTTATATTATAATACATTTCTCTGCAAGAGTTTAATAGAAAGTTTCAATCAACATCTTATTAAAGGCGTGAGTATAATATTTTTAGAAAGATGCACGAATATATATTTTTTATCTGTTGGAATTCAACACACATCAGGATATTTACAACAACTCAAGCATCTCCTCCAACTTTGTTAAACTCTTTTGACCAAATATATAAATATAATTATGTAAAGTTCAATTTGAATAACTATGTTGTTTTCCAAAGAGTATCAGATTCCACAAAATATTGCAGCCCCACCTAATATTGAGCTTTTACAGTGGAGAATCTTGTTCACATCCATACACTGTAATCCTTGTCTTGTGTCTTTCGCAAGACACGCACTCTTTCTAGAGTTAAGAGGTTCCTTCGTGCAGGTAAGAGTCTCCCTCGCTTTTCACAAAAATCTATCTTCTATTCTCATGCATCAAATAAGTATATAACTTATGATATGTACTCATTCCAGATGGCATATAAATGAATGAAGAGTGCACATTATAATCCTTTCCTTATGAAATAACACGATACAGATACGAGTTGATTGAACTGTTAATAAATAGAAACAGAGCATGGTAAAACGGTCTGTAGATGTGGTAAATTTAAAAACTAGAGACGCAACAGGACATATTTTGGTTCGGCTAATCGAATGAAAAAGGAATAGTTGAGCGCATCCAATGCCATTTAATGTTTACTTTGAAAAGCAGGATTCCCTTCACCACATTAACATTTTAGCATAAGAAAGGTAAGCCCCGAGAGAACCAAGGTGATTTATTCATCATCTACCTTCGGAATGGAAGATGGAGAAAGCAGGAGAAGGAGCAGACTTTCGTCTTATGAGAGAGTGGCAGCCATAAGCTTGGTGGTTCTAGCAGTGGCTTCTCCTCTCTATATAGACCACAGAGCAGAGAGTGAATTAGATGATGAGCAATCCATAAACTTTGCGTTTTTGTTGCCCTTGCTGCTCTTTGTATTGATTTTAGCCACAGCTTTATCGGCTTTTCTTGATCGCAACTTCACCAGGTTTGATCGCCACTGGATTCATAGAGTTGGTGGTTCTTCTGGAGGTATTGTCTTAATTCTTGTAGTCCTATTTCTAGTGTTGAAGTGTAAAGCGTCTGTGTAACAAGATACCATGAACCAACTATGTAGTTAGATATGCAGCAACGTCTTTGTGTCGTGTTTATGAAAAAATATACGAAACCGCTTAATATTTGGCGAGTAATCATCCTGTGTTTACTATTTAGTACATTCATGAATGGAGATATATTCCATGAATGAACCTCAATACACTAAAAAGAATGTACAGGAGGAGCCAAAGCATATTTGTGTTCAATGACTAAGATTATAACTACTCAAATTTTTCATTAACGGCTTGTTCTTAAAAGATAATGATACACTTTTCTTTTTCTTAACGGGCCGAGTCTCCAACAACACCTAGTTGACCCATCATCCTCTTCATTTTTGGACAAGTGACGCTCGAGTGAAAAGGAAGAAATAATGGAGATATCCATGAATGAACCTCAAAACACCAAGACTAAAGTATAAATTAATCTTACTAGTGTTGACATATCCACCTACGTGCATGATATCTGCAAAAGGTTTGCAAGGTTGAATTGCAAAAAGTCCATATCATAAATTTCGTACACACAAATTATATGAAGCAATTGGCTTGAATGTCCTGACAATTTCTTTTTCAATAAGGAAAATATTCTCCTTAGGTAGTAATCTATCCAATTTCAGTAAAATTATAACGACAAACTAAAAACTAAATGCAACCATAACTAAAGTATGAAATAGCTACATCCTACCACCCACATACTACTACCTAGTGTTGGTCAATCATGAGCATAGCTGCACTTATCATTAGCTCCACAAAAATAACTGTTTTGTTATTTTAACCGCACCACTCCAAAAAGGCAACGCTACCGCTAAAGAATACACAAACCAGCAGCCAGTTGATCCACCTTCAACGCATGTTCTCATTAATTATTTCATAGAGGAGAATTGATAAAATACATAGCGAACACACAATAAGCATCCCAAACAATCGAGAATTACATCAAGAAAATGCATACCTGCTATTTCTGAACCATAGACGGGGCGAAAGGAGAACTTAGAGTATTGTCAGAAGTACCATCATAAATTATGTAATCTGAAGGGAATTTGATTATACGGTGAGGGAGGGCTTCGTATTGTCAGATATCACTGCCAGTTTCTCAAGCCACCTTTACTTTCACATGGATAGAATTTGAAGATAAAAAGAATGATCCTCGCGTTGCGGTTTAGGCCTCGGTGGTTATGGAGCTCAATTGCCCTTTCAGATAAGCACTTGTTTGTGACATCCGTTAATAATCAATACAGATGATTATCCATATTTACACTGACTTTAAATTTGATAGAATACCCAACACAACAAGTATCCGTTCATTAGGGGATTGGGGAGGGATTACACCATTTGTCTAAGACCAAGTCCAGAAGAAAAATGCATATCTCGCATTTACACTAACTTTAAACTTAAGAGAATACACGACACAATCAATATCCTTTTATTTGGGGAAAGGGGAGGGGTTACATCAGTTGTCTAAGGCAAGGTCCAGAAAAAAAAATGCGTACTTCCAAATACAAATGTCAGTAAATGAAAGAACAATTTACAGCATAATCGATGAAATACTATGGCAAAGGATCAGATCACCTATTTACAACCAAGAAAAAAGGTTAGACTATTTTAGAGTAAAATATGTATCAACAAAATTGAAATGTAAAATTTACAAGAGCTCATGTATAGGAACGACAGCTTATTACAACAATCCGAAAAATATAACCTGATTTCTATATATGACAAACATACAGAAACAATAATAAGTTGACCATTTACAACACATTGAGGAAATAACCAGATTTATTATTACCAAGTGTGTCTTCACTTCAAGTGAAAACCACTAGTAAAATAGAAGATCCTCGGTTATGTTTATGAAGCTGACAAGCTGCTGAATATACGCTTCAAACTAGGACATGCTGCACGCAATCTTCCCATGCTCATTGAGCTAATCTGTAAAGCACAATAAATATAACAATGAATAAAAGTTAAACATATTCCATCATGTATGAAATGGGTAATAGGATAAAACTAATTAAGGATTAGTGCAAACGCTACTGCTGATCGCTATCACCTTTGGACAGAAGCGAACATCAAGAGTCTCCAGCATAGTGCATTTGGATATAGCAGTCTCTACTGCTTCTTCGTCAATGTTGCAAGACTAAAACATCGAAGTACCACTCCATCAAAAAAAGTTAGTACATTTAATAAAGCAAGCAACTTATGGTTTACAGTAATGAATCAATAGATGTGTTGCTAGAATTAATATAAATTTAAGATGAATTTTCATTTGTCATGTCACTCCGCCCAAACACATTCATTCGTGCCTAATTTCAAGTGGACTAGGGCCAACCCTGCATGCAAACATTTTGAAAATGCTTGCAGTCTAAACAGATCCCACACAACGGAAAATATTCACATGATAGTCGGTGACAGCTGTAATGCATAAAACCTAAGATACATTACCTAAACATACTCAAGCACGGCTGGAATAAAATTTCCCAGCAAGAACTAAATATATAATGAGTGCAACAGTCTATTTCAATTGGAAGAGAAAAACAATTACCTGGAGGAATAGACTGGTCAATCTTGTACAATCTAGCTTCAAAACTTCCAAAGAGTAACAATTGCTGAATAGAAAAGTTTAAACATTAATAACTGTTAGGAGAGATATAACATATCTACAGATACGAAAGAAAAGCATGACCGCTTATTGAAACATAATTATATTACAGTTACACAGAGGTCTGTCTATATACAGTCTACAAGAGATCCTGGGTCCACGGCAATCCCATATACACAAGAGAGTATTTTTCAAGAGAAGGAAATACTCATATACACATTCGATAATGAGAAGGATAGAAATCAACCCATTTATTAAAGTCAACCATACCTTAGATTAAGCCAGCTTAGGTTGAGACATGCAACATCAACCTCTTTCAAATTCGTTGATAGAGAAAGGTTTAAAAACAACAAACAGGAACAATGTGCAGTTAATGGAATGAAAACTTTCCGAATGTTCAGACATCCCACGCAGTTTAAGTTCTGCAGTAGTCGAGTGGGTTGCTCACTTAGCTCATGGACATTTTCATAAGAACTTGTAATAGATAGCACATTTACACCAGCAATATGCCCACGACTACATCCCCAATTTAAGTCGTGCATATTGGCACAGCCAGTCAAGTTGACATGCGTAAGGTGTGTGCAGCAAGAAAGAAGCTCCTCTATAGCAGACTGACACAGTGTAGCATAAGACAAGTCTAACTCTTGAAGTGCTGGTAAAGCTCCCCTCTTGTAGAGGGGTTCAAGTGATGAGTCAGTGAGATATTTGCATGCCTGCAACTTTAATACCTTCAAGAAATAAGGAATCATACAATCAGAAAATGGCAAAGAGAATAAATACACAAAGGTAACTTAACAATTTTATTGCCAACTAAATACAGTCAGTGAAGATATTGTATTTACAATAACATTAAATTTGATTCAACAACATAATTATTTTATGCAATTTCTATTATTTAATTAGCAGGTTGCAACAAAACAAAATAAAACAAATTAGGCTTAATTATTCCTCTAGTCTCATACTTGCATCATCAGCAAACTTGTAGTATCCAAGGAAAACACATTTCATTGCCCTTGCATAAAGTTTAGCTATACCTGGAGAAACATCATGAATAAAACTAGTACGACCGAAAACACAGGAGATACATGGAGTAATGGTTCATTTAGAAAAATGATTGAATGAGGAATCTTATTTTCAAGAGACGATGAAGTAGACAATGAGAACTGCATCACCCAAATGGGGCACTGGGAGAGTTGCATTAAGTAACAAGGCTCGGGCAATGTTAACTAAATGTCCATTTTTCCTTTCTCATATTTCTATTCTGCTGCTGTATATGAAGACACGGGGGGTTTGATGCAAGATCCCTTCTGAGGATAAAAAAAGAGTACAAAATAAAATACTCATTATCATTGTCACTCCAAGAAAATTAATTTATTTTTCCAAATTGATTCTTGATCTCATTGAAAAAGGACATGAAAATAGACAAGTTTAGATATGTACTACACCAGCAATATTGAAGGGACAATTAGGAATAAAGAGGACGTAATTCAAATGTAATTAGGTAGAAAAGGAGACTTCCAACTCCTTGGGAAACAACCTTGGATCCATTTGCTCAAGGAATAAGACGGGGAAGATACAAAGGTGAACAGAGAACCATTGCCAGAAATGTGACTAGAAAAAACTAAGCCAATTATCCATGGACCTTGACAACCCATAGATTGACAAATACATGGTGAAACACAAAGGGCTGAAGATGGTTGGACTTAGCTGTCAGACTTCAAGAGAAAATATTTCTGATATTCATTTTCAGAAAACTGCTGCTTAGATTTCTTTAACTTGGAAACATTTGTTGCCATCCTAGGAAAGTCGTGTGAGGAGCAACGGGTTTTCCAAGTATGACCCTTTCTCTTACATACGGGAGCTAAGGACAACCATATCTACCACCATGTCCTCCTCAATTTCCACAACCTCCCCCCTTCCACAAAGTGGACACCATTGCCAAAGATTTAACAGATTCAAGATTCATCCACCCTTCTTTATAAGTAGAAACATTAAGAATCCTTGATACAAAATTTTCCATGAAAGGAACACCTTCAATGGTAAAAATGTGATCATGAACATGATAACATTTTGAATTCAAACCATCAAAAGCACCATGTAAAACTACTCTCTTAGCTTCTTGAAACATCTTTAGCTCCACAATGACTGATTAGTCTTGAGAAACAGACGTTAATATGATTAATCTTTTTGAGTGAGGCCAGTTTTTGAACAAAATCATATAAACAGAATGTCATTAGACAAAATATTGAGCCTTCATTCCAAAATAAACACGTTTGGATGGGTAAGAAAGTCTTTAATATTTGTTTCCACAATACAACACATAATTGAAAGTAATGTTCCTTCCATTGAGCTTGTTCCTAATTCATAATTCGTTAAATTCTATTTTAAAATGTTCATGTTAAGCCTGACCAAAGGAATCATAATTTTACGAAGGAAAAACCATGACAAATGACTTTTGCCATTTAGTTTCCCTACAATAATGGTGGGGCTTCCAAAAATGAAGACTGGGCCAGTTGAGGTAATTTTGTAACACAAAAAACAGAAAGGATATTCTTCAAGTCACAAATCCCAAACAGGTACCCTAAGAAAGGAAAAAAATGCAAGGAGGCTTGAAATAGGACCAGAGAAGACCAGAGATAAGCAATGGGACTGCTTGTGGCAGCATGTCGAAGCTCTGATGACAACGCAACACCTGCAGTGATGCACACGCCACAAAGAGTCTATGCAAAGGTGGCACATGAATAGGTTTGTCAGGGTGCTGACTAGCAAGAACTGATGTTTGCCAGAAAAAAGTCATTGGAGGACAATGACAATAGTATCAAACTTGCTTTAGTACCAACTTGAATATTTGAATAAAAGAAAAAGCTTGAGCTTATATTCACTTGGCAACTGTAGATTATACATTTCAACAAAATGATGTACAAAAGAAGGATGAAAGTGCAGGATCCGACTAGGATAACTTGGTCATACATAGGCTTTTCATAATACATAAAAATAACTTACATAATACTTTGAAGACTTTTCCTGAAACCAGACACAAGTGAACTTTTCTAACAATATAAAATGAGGATACACTAATTTGAAATGGACCAAATCTGACTCATTCACAAAAGATAGATTAAGGGAAAACGATTGCACTTGATTTAAGAGGAACATCCTCCTATATTCCAATCCAATGTTGGACATCTTAACAAGAATAAAAACATAATGATCATACAGTAATCTGGTTTCTAAAATATACCCAGCACCCAAAATATCAACTATTTTATACTTGCAACTTGCAAGTAAACCAGAATAATATCACACTTTTGTTTTATTATTAATAAATGAAATTACATTTTAGTATAAAGACAATGAACTGAATTCATTATTACTATTAGAAGGTAAACTTTAAGCTTAACTCAACTTGACAAAAATATTTGGTTTGTAAGATGAGATTAGCATTTACTTAGATCATCTCTGTTGCAAGAGTCATTATAAGAGGTTCTAACTTACTTTTCGTGGGTCTTATTGTGTCTCATCACTTTTAAGACCCCTTGTAACTTTTATTCTAATGGAAGAGTCCTGTAAAACCAACACTTTAACTAATATTTTATGTTGTGGTTAATATTTCCAAGACAAATATATTGTTTTATTCTTATAATAACTCAGGATCTTAAATTATATGTCAACAAGGAGGTCTTGTAATACACAAGTCTTAAACTTATGAGCCTGAATATAACCCTTGCAATGGAGATGCCTTTATATACTATAATTTGACCACGTGTTGATGTGACATGTCTAACATCAATGCCAAGGACTACACTCCTCAAGCATAAGAATAAATATTTATAGGTGGTCCAATATTGAATAGCATGATAGGCCCAACAAAACTTGCCAAAATAGGTTTCAATACCATATTAAAAAGGGGAAT